ACACATTGAAAACTCCAGAAGCCAAAAATCGAAAAGTCGAAGAATCAAAATATTGAAAAATCCCAAAACTGAAATATCGAAAAACTGAAAAATGAAAGAAAAACTAAGCACCTAAAAAGTCGAAATATTGAGCAATAGAAAAATCCAAAAAGTGAACTCGAAAAATTGAAACCTTAAAAAAAATCAAAAAACTGAAAAATCGAAAAATTTAAAAGGACAATTGAAAACAGAAAATCTAAAACCGGGAAGTCGAAAAATCGAAAGATTAAGCAATCGATAAATTGAAAAATCGAAAAAGTAAAAAAATCGACACATCGAAAACTCCAGAAGCCAAAAATCGAAAACTCCAGAAGCCAAAAATCGAAAAGTCGAAGAATCAAAATATTGAAAAATCCCTAAACTGAAAAATGAAAGAAAAACTGAAAAATGGAAAACCGGAAAAATCCGAAAATTGAAATATCCAAAAACTGAGAACCCAAAAAGTCGAAAAATTGAGCAATAGAAAAATCCATAAAGTGAAGTCGAAAAATAAAACCTTAAAAAAATAAAAAATCAAAAACCTAAAAAATTAAACAATTGAAGAACAGGAATATCGAAACCTTCGAAAGTCAAAAAATGGGAAAACATGGATTAATTGAAAAATCGAAAAATTGACAGTTTATAAATGTCAAATTTGAAAAATTGAAAAATCGAAAATTTGAAACAACGACAATTGAAAAACAGAAAATCTAAAAGCGGGAAGTCGAAAAATCGAAAGATTAAGAAATCGAAACATTTGAAAAATTGAAATATGGAAAAGCTGAAATGAAAAATTAGGAAATCGAAAATTCGAAAATTTTAAATATTGAAAAATTAAAATACCAAAAAATTGAGATTATCTAAAATTTAAAAATCGAAGAAGTAAAAAGTCGACACATCGAAAAATCCAGAAGTCAAAAATGGAAAAGTCGAAGAACAGAAATATTGAAAAATCCCAAAACTGAAATATCGAAAAACTGAAAAATGAAAGAAAAACCGACGAATCGAAAAATTGAAAAATCCCAAAACTGAGAATCTAAAGAATCGAAAAAATGACAAAATCGAAAAATCAAAAAAGTAAAGTCAAAATATCGAAACCTTAAAAAAATCGAAAAATTGAAACACCAAAAATCTGCAAAATCGTAAGATCGAAAAATTGAATAATAAGTAAACTGAAAAATCCCAAAACTGAAATGTCCAAAAACTGAGAAATCAAAAAATTGAAAAATTGAGAAATCGAAAAATCAAAAAAGTGAAATTGAAAAAATGAAACCTGAAAAAATAGAAAAATTGAAAAACCAAAAAACCTGAAAAATCAATTAATTGAAAAATCGACAAACAGAGTTTATAAAAGTCAAAAATTGAAAAATCGAAATATTTAAAAAAACGTAAAATTGAAGAGAAAAACTGAAAACCGAGAAATTGAAAAATTGTAAAATTTAAAAATTGAAAAATAAATAGGAGTAAACTGAAAAGTCCCCAAACTATTTATAAATTATAAACAAAAACAAAACCAACTAAATGGTATACAGGATGGTTAAAATTTCTCGTAATGTTTCCAAATTTTGATTATTTTGGCAATGACATACTCTTTAAGGAAAAAGAGGGTGGGTGGGCGGGGCTAATACTTGCTAAGATAAGACTGATTTGCGCAAATGACATATCCTATAAGAAAAGAGAGGGTGGGTGGGCGGGGCTAGTATCTGCTAAGACTGATTTTGGCTAATGAGTTCCCATTAAGAAATTAGAGGGCTGGTGGGCGGGGTTAGTACCTGCTAAGATAAAACTATTTTCGCAAATGACATACTCTCTTAAAAAAATGAAGGGTAGGGGGTATATCATTCGGCAAAATCAGTCTTATCTTGGCAAGTATTGGCCCCGCCCACCCACCCGTTATTTTATTCGAAGGTATGCCATTTGCCAATGTCAGTTTTCTCTTACAAGTGCTCGCCTCACCCACTCGCCCTTTATTTTCTTAGAGGGCTAGTACCTGCTAAGATAAGACTGATTTTGGCTAATGAGATCCTTGTAGGAAAATAGAGGGCGGGTGGGCGGGTTTAGTACCCGTTAAAATAAGATCGATTTTGGCAAAAAATTGATGACTTTGTGATAACCCAAACTTCCCGCCTTAAAATTTGACCTTGAAAACAGTTTGAAAGGCCCGCAAAAAATTTAAAAATTCAAAGTTTGGCCTTGGCTATGATCGTCTAACAAATAGGAACCTACGTTGTGTGTTTTTTTTTTTGTTTTTGAAAAATGGCGGGAAGACGTTCTTTCATACAAGTGCATACACTGTCGAGAGCGCAAGAAATAATAGACAAAATTGTTTTGGAGGGGGAGTACGGCACCCCTCACAGGGGGAAAAGACGCTTCGAAGATTTACTCCTCAGCGCAAAAACCCCCTTTTGGTTTTTATTCCCGGACGACATAAATATTACATTTCAAACACCTTAAGATATGTGAAAGAAAAACACTCACGAATTGACAGACATACACACACGAAAAACGAACAAACGGAAATTCTGTACATCTGTTTGGAATCAATGCAAATATTTGAATATCACAAATTTAGTAAAACAAAGCAAAAGCTGAATCAAGTAACTGGATGCAAATACACAAGTTATTACAGGCATGTGGCGGCCGATCTCGTTCCCCTTTTTTTTTTGTTACGGCAGTTAACAGGAGCACAAGAAAAGTACCCCTGGAGCGTTGTGGCATAAGCGGAGTCTGAGCTACCGGTCTGGAACTGTTCTCCCCCCGCGACGGTGATTCTATCTATCGCAAAGCCTACCCCACACGCATATCCCATGACGAACTTTGCCCTGCGGAACTAGGCCATTACGGTCGTCCAACCCGCAAGAGATCTAGGCTATGTACAGGAGCCTAGAAATTTACAACATCGGCGGCCGCCCCTGAATCTATCCAAACCTGTGGACTTGTACAGGTGGCGCGATAAATCTCGCCAGCTCGACTAGGAACCAAACCTCGCTCCTGCCACGTTTTCTGTGTCATTTAACCTCAATTCCATTTTAAAACATTGTGAATCTCTTATAACTCTGATGTTAACAACAACTGAACAAGTGTTAAAGTTTCAAAGAGCAATAAACAACATTTAAATTCGCCATACAATCTTGTGAAATCTTAAACAACAAATAATTCTTATGTGGGATTAAAGTTGGACATCAAATAATTTATATGATAGAAAACATTCATCAACAAAGTATTTACAAAACAAAACTTAGCAAGGATTTATGAGACGAAAGATCTGGTGTGAAATAAACTTGTACAAATAGAAATGTTATGTGAGGTTAGAACTTGTAGAACATGAAATTTACGTTCAATTAAATTTATACAACAAATAAAATTACTGAGGTTAAGATTGTGAGATTAAGAAATATAGTATGATGTGAAAATTGCAGAGTTAACATAATTTACAGGAGATTAATATTTGCCACACTTTCTCAACGGTTCAAACAAAGAGTTTACATTATGCCAAATTATATCATGATCTAAATGATTGGTTACTTCAAAAATAATTTACTTTGAGAAGTTAAAATACTACGAACTGGCTACCCCAACAAAACACATAATAAACAAATACAAAAAATATCCAATCATCGCTCCGAGGGAAAAAGCGTCTCGGTGATGTAAGTTCCAAAATCGTTGCGAGGAAAAAGCGTCTCGGTAATGTAAATTTTCTGTAGCGTTGGGGGCATGCCTTAATTAATTAATCAATCTGGCGTTGCGAAACATGCCCCGATGAATTAATCGTGATAACGATGATAACCACCTGAGGGGAGAAAATATCATAACCCCCCGCCAGTCCGCAGTATAATGAACTCGTTTAACTGCCGTAAATGAACTATTAGCAATCTTGTGTGAAGAATTTAGAAGTATTATAATGTAACACTTACGTATATGCATCCAGAGACCTATTCGTGATTAAACACAAGGTGTTTTTCCTGACTAAGTGAATTTCATGAAATCTTCTAGCAAAGGGTTTACTTAAATAATCCTGATTGTTAAATTGTGTTTGCTCTAGCGGAGTATTATCAAAAACTAGCTTGATTGGTGAATTTACAAACAAAGAAACAGATTCACAACACGTGTTCGCGTCCGACCGGAAGTCTGCAATTTTCGATTAAAAGGGCGCAAGAATTTAACGCGCGGGTTGGGGACAACTGTATCATTATGAAAAATACGTTTGATCGTCGTTAAACAAAGGCTTCCTCCCGTTTTAATAACTACGAAACCAACTAATTTAAACCTAGCGCTTACCACGTGGTCACACACACACAGCCACATTCGTAATGAATCTACCATGCGGTTTTTCTACCAACCCTCTAACTGAAATTACCCTAGCGCTACGTGCTGCCACCTACTCAAAGATCATGCAAACTAACCCCTAAGCGCTACGTGCAAGAGACCTTCCATGCATATTTGGTTGCCTATGTTTAAGGAGTTCCTTTTCGTGATTGAACTTTTTTTTTTTTCAAATTCAAATTATTCAAATGCGATTTCGCGCCACTGTTAATTAATTTCAGCGCGAAAACTTTGATTTAAATTCGGTCACCACAACCTCATGTTAAAATTTTGCCAAATAAATACTGTCTAAATTGTGCAAAATATGATGAGTTTATACTTGTGACTTATCATTGCATTAATATTTTTTAAATTTGCAAAAATAGATAAATTTATTTTATTGATTAAATCAAGAACTGCTCACTCCATTTTTTCATTGGTCACTAGGGATCTCTGCATATACGAAATTAGGTGCCAACCAAATTACTAGACTTACATGCCTATCCTGAACGGTAGTAGAATTGTGGATCTGACGTCACACTTTGGCGCCACTTTTCAAACCACCCAATCCGCTCCGCTCAATAAAAAACGCTCCAGTTTTGTACATATTTAATACAAGAACCACTTACAAATCAATCACGAAATGTAGACTCCTACATAATATAATAAAAATAAAAGCCCAAATCATATCATGTATACTTAAAAAGACAAAAGAATGCGAATCGTAATAAAAAACTCCTACGCCTACGAACCAAACTTGCAGCTTAAATGTGATGATGCGGCGCCCCGGGGGACGCGACGGCGGCGGCTTGCGGGCTGGGAGGCGTGGGCGTGTTGGTGGCCGCCCCCTCGTTGGGCGGCGCCGTATGCGTCATCTGCGGCTGCTGCAAGGCCCACTGGCCCTGGTCGGCCTGCAGCCTCTGGTGCGCCTGCTGCCTCGCCCTGAACTCCGCCGCCTTCAGCTGCTCCAGGTGGAACTGCTGCCGGTCCGTGATCAGCTGCTGCCGCTGGTACTCCAGCCCCTCCCTTTCGCGCTCCATCGTCGTCTCCAGCTCCTCGAAGTGCCGCAGCTTGATTTCGAGCTTCTTCATCTGTGTTTCCACTAACAAGGCCACCAGTGACTTAATCTTGCGCTCTTCGACCGCCGCCAGGTGCTTGGCTTTGACGGCGGCCGCCGCCAGCGCGGCGGCCGCGGCGCTCTGCATCTCGCTGTCTTTCACCGTGCGCTCGGACTTGGGTTCGGGTTGCTCGGGTTTTTCGCTCTTGACGGGCTCGGCGGCCGCCTCTGTCTTTATCGTTTTGTCCTCTTTTTCCTCCTTTTCTTCCGTTTTTTTCTCGTCGGGTTTTTCTTCTTCTTTCGTCTCGGGTTCTTTTTTGATTTTGTCGTCTTCTTCTTTCTCGGGGGCGGTACCTGCGATTCCGGTGAGGGCTAGGTTGGCTGCAGGGTCGTACTTTCCCTCGGCGGAGGAGGCTTCCACGTTTTTCAAGTGGGCGTCCATGACGGCGGCGGGGACTTCGTCTTTTATGCTGGCGAATTCGTTCATTGCGGATTTGGCGGCGGCGGCGGCCACTCTAGGATCCACTATGGAAGCTAAAAAGGCTACTGTGGACATAATAGGGTTCCCGGCTTTACTGAAAGGAATCGGTTGATAGGCTAGTGGACCTAGTGCACCATCGGCTTCGGGGTCCTCCAGGTATGGATCTTCGATCGGTAAACGCAAAAAGTGCAAAATACACTCGTCCTGGGTTCGGGAACCCACGTGCTCACAAACTTTGTTCCAATCGTCTTTGTACATCTCGAGACCTTCCAATAACAAAAGAGTTTCTTGTTCCGTCCAGTCTCGGGTTAAAGAGGCGGCGCTTTTGTTTCTCAAAGCGGCGGGTTTTTTGATGTACTGGTCCAACTTTAATCCGAAATTGGTCATTTGATCAGGACCTTCGATTTTTTTGAGCTCCTGGGACCTATCCAGGTCTAGGAGGGTTTTAGCGGCGCTGGGTTGTTGGGTTTTGGGTGGGTTTACAGGTTGCAGACCCGACGGGGTGTCCGATAAAATATGAAAATGGGAAGTCGGTGGTGGACCCATGGGGGTAGGTCTGGAATCTGTGTCAACTTGATAGTTAATCAAGCCCCATTGTTCTAAAAACGCGTGGACTCGCATTATCGCACAGACGTCGCCTGCTAGATTTCGACGACACGCCGTACTAGTGATATACTCCGTTGGGTTTAGTCTGTAGGTGTCAACCATAAAATTCCTATAAGCTAGATATATTTCGGGAGTTTTCGATTTATTTCTACCGTTGAAGAACTCAGGTAGAGCTCTTTTTTCCACCTCGTGAATAGCGTTATAGTCGAACCACGCCGAGTACGAAGGTATAATTATATGATGCGTCTGCTCAGTAACATTATCCTCTTGCCCGTCATCCTGAGTATTACTATCGCTATTTTTTCCATTTTGCGAGTCCTCGCCTCGCTCCTCCGACTCCTCCAAGTCCGTAACCGAGCCCCCTTTCAAATGCTGCAATTCGTGGTCTTTCTTGCTGTTTTGATTCGCGACCAGAAAGTTGAAAAATCGAAAGATTAAGAAATACTGAATAATTAAAATATCAAAAGATTGAAAAATCTAAAATTTAAAAATCCAAAAATTGAAAAAGTAAAAAGGTAGGCACATCGAAAAACCCAGAAGTCAGAAATAGAAAAGCCGAAGAATTGAAATATTGAAAAATCCCAAAACCGAAATATCTAAAAACTGAAAAATCGAAAAATCAAAAAAGTGAAGTCGAAAAATAGAAACCTTAAAAAATCGAAAATTTGAAAAATCAAAAAATTAAAGAATTGAAGAACAGGAAAATCGAAACATTCGAAGGTCAAGAAATGGGAAAATCAAAACATCGATTAATTGAAAAATCTAAAAATTGAGAGTTTATAAAAGTCAAATTTGAAACATTAAAAAATCAAAAATTTGACAAAATGACAATTGAAAAACAGAAAATCTAAAACCGGGAAGTCGAAAAATCAAGAAATTAAGAAATCGAAACATTTGAAAAATTCGAAAACTTGAAAAATTGAAATATTGAAGAACTGAAATGAAAAATCGAGAAATCGAAAAGTCAAAGAATCGAAATATTGAAAAATCCCAAAACTTAAATATCGAAAAACTGAAAAATGAAAGAAAAACTGAAAAATGGAAAACCTGAAACCGAAAACTGAAATATCCAAAAACTGAGAAGCTAAAAAGTCGAAAAATTGGGCAATAGAAAAATCCAAGAAGTGAAAAATTGAAACCTTGAAAAAATAAAAAATCAAAAACCTGAAAAATCGAAAAATTAAAGAATTCAAGAAGAGGAGTATCGAAACCCTCGAAAGTCAAGAAATGGGAAAATCAAAACATCGATTAATTGAAAAATTGAAAGTTTATAAATGTCAAATTTGAAAAATTGAAAAATCGAAAATTTGAAAAAAACGACAATTGAAAAACAGAAAATCTAAAACCAGGAAGTCGAAAAATCGAAAGATTAAGAAATCGAAACATTTGAAAAATTGAAATATGGAAGAGTTGAAATGAAAAATCGAGAAATCGAAAAATCTAAAACTTTAAAAATTGAAAAATTAAAATACCAAAAAATTGAGAAATCTAAAATTTAAAAATCGAAAAAGTAACAAGTCGACACATCGAAAAATCCAGATGTCAAAAATGAAAAAGTCGAAAAACAGAAATATTGAAAAATCCCAAAACTGAAATATCGAAAAACTGAAAAATGAAAGAAAAACCGACGAATCGAAAAACTGAAAAATCCCAAAACTGAAATAAAAAAATCTAAACATTTGAAAAATTCAAATATCGAAGAACTGAACTGAAAAATCGACATATCGAAAAATCCAGGAGTCAAAAATCGAAAAGTCCAAGAATCGAAATATTGAAAAATCCCAAAACTGAAAAATGGAAAACATGAAAAATCCGAAAACTGAAATATCCAAAAACTGAGAACCTAAAAACTCGAAAAATTGAGCAATAGAAAAATCCAAAAAGTGAAGTCGAAAAATTGAAACCTGAAAAAAATAAAAAAATTAAAATCAATAACCTGAAAAATCGAAAAATTAAAGAATTGAAGAACAGGAATATCGAAACCCTTGAAAGCCAAGAAATGGGAAAATCAAAACATCGATTAATTGAAAAATCGAAAAATTGACAGTTTATAAATGTCAAATTTGAAAAATTAAAAAATTAAAAAATCGAAAATTTGACAAAATGACAATTGAAAAATAGAAAATCTAAAACCGGGAAGTCGAAAAATCGAAAAATTAAGAAATCGAAACATTTGAAAAATTGAAATATGGAAGAGCTGAAATGAAAAATCGAAAAATCTAAAATTTTAAATATTGAAAAATTAAAATACCAAAAAATTGAGAAATCTAAAATTTAAAAATCGAAAAAGTAAAAAGCCGACACATCGAAAAATCCAGAAGTCAAAAATGGAAAAGTTGAAGAATACAAAAAAAACTGGAATATCGAAAAACTGAAAAATGAAAGAAAAACTGACGAATCGAAAAACTAAAAAATCCCAAAACTCAAATATCCAAAAACTGAGAATCTAAAGAATCGAAAAATCAAAAAAGTGAAGTCGAAATATCGAAACCTTAAAAAAATCGAAAAATAGAAAAATCAAAAATCTGCAAGATCGTAAGATCGAAAAATTGAATAATAAGTAAACTGGAAAATCCCAAAACTGAAATGTCCAAAAACTGAGAAATCAAAAAAGTGAAGTTGAAAAATCGAACCCTGAAAAAATAGAAAAATTGAAAAACCGAAAAACCTGAAAAATCAATTAATTGAAAATTCGACAAATAGAGTTTATAAAAGTCAAAAATTGAAAAGTCGTAAAATTGAAGAGAAAAACTGAAAACTGAGGAATTGAAAAATTGTAAAATCCAAAAATTGAAAAATAAATAGGAGTAAACTGAAAAGTCCCCAAACTATTTATAAATTATAAACAGAAACAAAACCAACTAAACAGTATACAGAATGTTTAAAATTCCTTGTGATGTTTCCAAATTTTGATTATTTTTTGTAAAAGTAGTCATCAGTAATTACTAAGATAAAACTGATTTTGGCAGTGACATACTCTTTAAGAAAAGAGAGGGTGGGTGGGCGGGGCTAATACTTGCTCAGATAAGACTGATTTGTTCAAATGACATATCCTATAAGAAAAGAGAGGGTGGGTGGGCGGGACTAATACCTGCTAAGACTGATTTTGGCTAATGAGTTCCCTCTAAGAAATTAAAGGGCTGGTGGGCGGGGTTGGTACCTGCTAAGATAAAACTATTTTCGCAAATGACATACTCTCTTAAAAAATTAAGGGTAGGGGGTATATCATTCGGCAAAATCAGTCTTATCTTGGCAAGTATTGGCCCCACCCACCCACCCGTTATTTTATTCGAAGGTATGCTATTTGGCAAGGTTAGTTTTCCCTTAAAAGTGGTAGCCCCACCCACCCGCCCTTAATTTTCTTAAAGGGCTAGTACCTGCTACGATAAGACTGATTTTGGTTAATGAGATCCCTGTAAGAAAATAGAGGGCGGGTGGGCGGGTTTAGTACCTGTTAAAATAAGATCGATTTTGACAAAAAATTCATGACGTCATGTTAAAATTTTGCTGAACAAATACTGTCTAAATTGTGCAAAATATGATGAGTTTATACTTGTGATTTATCATTGCATTAAAATTTTTAAATTTGCAAAAATAGATACATTTATTTTATTGACTAAATCAAGAACTGCTCACTCCATTTTTTCATTGGTCACTACGGATCTCTGCATATACGAAATTAGGTGCCAACCAAATTACTAGACTTACATGCCTATCCTGAACGGTAGTAGAATTGTGGATCTGACGTCACACTTTGGCGCTACTTTTCAAACCACCCAATCCGACCCGCTCAATAAAAAACCGCCCCAGTTTTGTACATATTTAATACAAGAACCACTTACAAATCAATCACGAAATGTAGACTCCTACATAATATAATAAAAATAAAAGCCCAAATCATATCATGTATACTTAAAAAGACAAAAGAATGCGAATCGTAATAAAAAAACTCCTACGCCTACGAACCAAACTTGCAGCTTAAATATGATGATGCGGCGCCCCGGGGGACGCGACGGCGGCGGCTTGCGGACTGGGAGGCGTGGGCGTGTTGGTGGCCGCCCCCTCGTTGGGCGGCGCCGTATGCGTCATCTGCGGCTGCTGCAAGGCCCACTGGCCCTGATCGGCCTGCAGCCTCTGGTGCGCCTGCTGCCTCGCCCTGAACTCCGCCGCCTTCAGCTGCTCCAGGTGGAACTGCTGCCGCTCCGTGATCAGCTGCTGCCGCTGATACTCCAGCCCCTCCCTTTCGCGCTCCATCGTCGTCTCCAGCTCCTCGAAGTGCCGCAGCTTGATTTCGAGCTTCTTCATCTGTGTTTCCACTAACAAGGCCACCAGTGACTTAATCTTGCGCTCTTCGACCGCCGCCAGGTGCTTGGCTTTGACGGCGGCCGCCGCCAACGCGGCGGCCGCGGCGCTCTGCATCTCGCTGTCTTTCACCGTGCGCTCGGACTTGGGTTCGGGTTGCTCGGGTTTTTCGCTCTTGACGGGCTCGGCGGCCGCCTCTGTCTTTATCGTTTTGTCTTCTTTTTCGTCCTTTTCTTCGGGTTTTTTCTCGTCTGGTTTTTCTTCTTCTTTCGTCTCGGGTTCTTTTTTGATTTTGTCGTCTTCTTCTTTCTCGGGGGCGGTGCCTGCGATTCCGGTGAGGGCTAGGTTGGCTGCAGGGTCGTACTTGCCCTCGGCGGAGGAGGCTTCCACGTTTTTCAAGTGGGCGTCCATGACGGCGGCGGGGACTTCGTCTTTTATGCTGGCGAATTCGTTCATGGCGGATTTGGCGGCGGCGGCGGCCACTCTAGGATCCACTATGGAAGCTAAAAAGGCTACTGTGGACATAATAGGGTTTCCCGCTTTACTGAAAGGAATCGGTTGATAGGCTAGTGGACCTAGTGCACCACCGGCTTCGGGGTCCTCCAGGTATGGATCTTCAATCGGTAAACGCAAAAAGTGCAAAATGCACTCGTCCTGGGTTCGGGAACCCACGTGCTCACAAACTTTGTTCCAATCGTCTTTGTACATCTCGAGACCTTCCAATAACAAAAGAGTTTCTTGTTCCGTCCAGTCTCGGGTTAAAGAGGCGGCGCTTTTGTTTCTCAAAGCTGCGGGTTTCTTGATGTACTGGTCCAACTTTAACCCGAAATTGGTCATTTGATCGGCGGCCGCCTCTGTCTTTATTGTTTTGTCCTCTTTTTCCTCCTTTTCTTCGGGTTTTTTCTCGTCAGGTTTCTCTTCTTCCTTCGTCTCGGGTTCTTTTTTGATTTTGTCGTCTTCTTCTTTCTCGGGGGCGGTGCCTGGGATTCCGGTGAGGGCTAGGTTGGCTGCAGGGTCGTACCAAAAAATTGAGAAATCTAAAATTTAAAAACCGAATAACGAAAAATCGAGAAATCGAAACTCCCAAATTTAAAAAATCGGATAACTGAAAAACGAAAAACTGAGAAATCGAAAAATCAAAAGATCAAGAAATCGTGGAATCGAAGAGTCGAACAATTGAGAAACCGAAATAGGTCAAAATTCTAAAAATTGAAAAATTGAGATTGAAAGATCCAAAGAACGAGAAATCGAAAAATGATGAAGACGAAAAGTCGAAAAATAGAGAAATCGACAAACAAAAAGTTAAAAGTTGAAAAATTGGAAAATCGGAAAAATCAAAAAACGAAAAAATGGAAAACTAGAAAAACTGAGAAACCGAAATAGGCCAAAATAAAAAATTGAAAAAATGATAAATCGAAAACCTGAACAACCAAAGCTCGATAAATCGGGAATGAAAAATTAACAAATTGAAAAACAGAACATCTAAAACCAGGAAGTCGAAAAATAGAAAGACTAGGAAATATTGAAATATTAAAATATCAAAAGATTGAAAAATCTAAAATTTAAAAATCCAAAAATTGAAAAATCGAAAAAGTAAAAAGGTAGACACATCGAAAAACCTAAAAGTCAAAAATAGAAAAGCCGAAAAATTGAAATATTGAAAAACTGAAAAATCGAAAAATAAAAAAATTAAAGAATTGAAGAACAGGAAAATCGAAACACTCGAAGGTCAAGAAATGGAAAAATCAAAACATCGAATAATTGAAAAATCGAAAAATTGACAGTTTATAAAAAATGTCAAATTTGAAAAATTGAAAAATCGAAAATTTGAAAAAACGACAGTTGAAAAACAGAAAATCTAAATAAATGAATAAATAAATAAATAGTTTATTGATCATCCAACGGGCAAATCCCCACATAGGACATAATAATAACTAATAGTAAACTTAACCCAAAAATTTTTTTAATATAATGCTAAAACCGGGAAGTCGAAAAATCGATTGATTAAGAAATCAAAACATTTGAAAAATTTGAAAACTTGAAAAACTGAAATATCGAAGAACTGAAATGAAAAATCGAGAAATCGAAAAATCAAAAATTTTCGAAATTAAAACATCGAAAATTTAAAAATCGAAAAATTCAGGAGTCAAAAATCGAAAAGTCAAAGAATGGAAATATTGAAAAATCCCAAAACTGAAATATCGAAAAACTGAAAAATGAAAGAAAAACTAAAAATGGTAAACTAAATCGGAAAATCAAAACATTGAAAAATCGAAAAATTTAAAAGGACAACTGAAAACAGAAAATCTAAAACCGGGAAGTAGAAAGATTAAGAAATCGAAAAATTGAAAAATCGAAAAAGTAAAAAAATCGACACATTGAAAACTCCAGAAGCCAAAAATCGAAAAGTCGAAGAATCAAAATATTGAAAAATCCCAAAACTGAAATATCGAAAAACTGAAAAATGAAAGAAAAACTGAAAAATCCGAAAACTGAAATATCCAAAAAACTGAGAACCTAAAATGTCGAAAAATTGAGCAATAGAAAAATCCAAAAAGTGAAGTCGAAAAACTTAAAAAAATAAAATAAAAAATCAAAAACCTGAAAAATCGAAAAATTAAAGAATTGAAGAACAGGAATATCGAAACCCTCAAAAGTCAAGAAATGGGAAAATCAAAACATCGAATGATTGAAAAATCGAAAAATTGACAGTTTATAAATGTCAAATTTGAAAAATTGAAAAATCGAAAATTTGAAAAAACGACAATTGAAAAACAGAAAATCTAAAATCGGGAAGGCGAAAAATCGATTGATTAAGAAATTGAAACATTTGAAAAATTGAAATATGGAAAAGCTGAAATGAAAAATTAGGAAATCGAAAATTCTAAAATTTTAAATATTGAAAAATTAAAATACCAAAAAATTGAGATTATCTAAAATTTAAAAATCGAAGAAGTAAAAAGTCGACACATCGAAAAATCCAGAAGTCAAAAATGGAAAAGTCGAAGAACAGAAATATTGAAAAATCCCAAAACTGAAATATCGAAAAACTGAAAAATGAAAGAAAAACCGACGAATCGAAAAACTGAAAAATCCCAAAACTGAGAATCTAAAGAATCGAAAAAATGAGAAATCGAAAAATCAAAAAAGTGAAGTCAAAATATCGAAACCCTAAAAAAATAGAAAAATTGAAAAACCAAAAATCTGCAAAATCGTAAGATCGAAAAATTGAATAATAAGTAAACTGAAAAATCCCAAAACTGAAATGTCCAAAAACTGAGAAATTAAAAAAATGAAAAATTGAGAAATCGAAAAATCAAAAAAGTGAAATTGAAAAATCGAAACCTGAAAAAATAGAACATTTGAAAAACCAAAAAACCTGAAAAATCAATTAATTAAAAATCGACAAATAAAGAGTTTATAAAAGTCAAAAATTGAAAAATCGAAATATTTAAAAAACGTAAAATTGAAGAGAAAAACTGAAAACCGAGACATTGAAAAATTGTAAAATCCAAAAACTAAAAAATAAATAGCTGTAAACTGAAAAGTCCCAGAACTATTTATAAATTATAAACAAAAACAAAACCAACTAAACATTAGACAGGATGTTCAAAATTCTTGCCTTGTTTATATAAGTAAGCTCGTAATGTTTCCAAATTTTGATTATTTTTTGTAAAAGTAGTCACTAGTAATTGCTAACATAAAACTGATTTTGGCAATGATATATTCCTTAAGAAAAGAGGGGGTGGGTGGGCGGGGCTAATACTTGCTAAGATAAGACTGACTTTGGCAGATGAGATATCCTATAAGAAAAGAGAGGGTGGGTGGGCGGGACTAGTACCTGCTAAGAAAGACTGAATTTTGCAAATGAGATCCTTCTAAGAAATTAGAGGGCTGGTGGGCGGGGTTAGTACCTGCCAAGATAAAACTGATTTTCACAAATGACATACTCTCTTAGAAAATGAATAGTAGAAGGTATATCATTCGGCAAAATCAGTCTTATCTTGCCAAGTATTGGCCCCGCCCACCCACCCGTTATTTTATTCGAAGGTATGCCATTTGGCAATGTTAGTTTTCTCTTACAAGTGCCAGCCCCACCCACCCGCCCTTGATTTTCTTAAAGTGCTAGTAGCTGCTACGATAAAACTGATCTTGGCTAATGAGATCCCTGTAAGAAAATAGAGGGCGGGTGGGCGGGTTTAGTACCTGCTAAAATAAGATCGAATTTGGCAAAAAATTGATGACGTCATCTTAAAATTTTGCCGAACAAATACTGTCTAAATTGTGCAAAATATGATGAGTTTATACTTGTGACTTATCATTGCATTAATATTTTTTAAATTTGCAAAAATAGATAAATTTATTTTATTGATTAAATCAAGAACTCCTCACTCTATTTTTTCATTGGTCACTAGGGATCCCTGCGTATACGAAATCAGTTGCCAACCAAATTACTAGACTTTACATGCCTATATTTGTCTAAAACCATCTTGAACGGTAGCAGAATTGTGTATCTGACGTCACACTTTGGCGCTACTTTTCAAACCACCCAATCCGCTCCGCTCAATAAAAAACGCCCCAGTTTTGTACATATTTAATACAAGAACCACTTACAAATCAATCACGAAATGTAGACTCCTACATAATATAATAAAAATAAAAGCCCAAATCATATCATGTATACTTAAAAAGACAAAAGAATGCGAATCGTAATAAAAAAACTCCTACGCCTACGAACCAAACTTGCAGCTTAAATATGATGATGCGGCGCCCCGGGGGACGCGACGGCGGCGGCTTGCGGACTGGGAGGCGTGGGCGTGTTGGTGGCCGCCCCCTCGTTGGGCGGCGCCGTATGCGTCATCTGCGGCTGCTGCAAAGCCCACTGGCCCTGATCGGCCTGCAGCCTCTGGTGCGCCTGCTGCCTCGCCCTGAACTCCGCCGCCTTCAGCTGCTCCAGGTGGAACTGCTGCCGCTCCGTGATCAGCTGCTGCCGCTGATACTCCAGCCCCTCCCGTTCGCGCTCCATCGTCGTCTCCAGCTCCTCGAAGTGCCGCAGCTTGATTTCGAGCTTCTTCATCTGTGTTTCCACTAACAAGGCCACCAGTGACTTAATCTTGCGCTCTTCGACCGCCGCCAGGTGCTTGGCTTTGACGGCGGCCGCCGCCAACGCGGCGGCCGCGGCGCTCTGCATCTCGCTGTCTTTCACCGTGCGCTCGGACTTGGGTTCGGGTTGCTCGGGTTTTTCGCTCTTGACGGGCTCGGCGGCCGCCTCTGTCTTTATCGTTTTGTCCTCTTTTTCGTCCTTTTCTTCGGGTTTTTTCTCGTCGGGTTTTTCTTCTTCTTTCGTCTCGGGTTCTTTTTTGATTTTGTCGTCTTCTTCTTTCTCGGGGGCGGTGCCTGCGATTCCGGTGAGGGCTAGGTTGGCTGCAGGGTCGTACTTTCCCTCGGCGGAGGAGGCTTCCACGTTTTTCAAGTGGGCGTCCATGACGGCGGCGGGGACTTCGTCTTTTATGCTGGCGAATTCGTTCATGGCGGATTTGGCGGCGGCGGCGGCCACTCTAGGATCCACTATGGAAGCTAAAAAGGCTACTGTGGACATAATAGGGTTCCCCGCTTTACTGAAAGGAATCGGTTGATAGGCTAGTGGACCTAGTGCACCACCGGCTTCGGGGTCCTCCAGGTATGGATCTTCAATCGGTAAACGCAAAAAGTGCAAAATGCACTCGTCCTGGGTTCGGGAACCCACGTGCTCACAAACTTTGTTCCAATCGTCTTTGTACATCTCGAGACCTTCCAATAACAAAAGAGTTTCTTGTTCCGTCCAGTCTCGGGTTAAAGAGGCGGCGCTTTTGTTTCTCAAAGCGGCGGGTTTTTTGATGTACTGGTCCAATTTTAACCCGAAATTGGTCATTTGATCGGGACCTTCGATTTTTTTGAGCTCCTGGGACCTATCCAGGTCTAGGAGGGTTTTAGCGGCGCTGGGTTGTTGGGTTTTGGGTGGGTTTACAGGTTGCAGACCCGACGGGGTGTCCGATAAAATATGAAAATGGGAAGTCGGTGGTGGACCCATGGGGGTAGGTCTGGAATCTGTGTCAACTTGATAGTTAATCAAGCCCCATTGTTCTAAAAACGCGTGGACTCGCATTATCGCACAGACGTCGCCTGCTAGATTTCGACGACACGCCGTACTAGTGATATACTCCGTTGGGTTTAGCCTGTAGGTGTCAACCATAAAATTCCTATAAGCTAGATATATTTCGGGAGTTTTCGATTTATTTCTACCGTTGAAGAACTCAGGTAGAGCTCTTTTTTCCACCTCGTGAATAGCGTTATAGTCGAACCACGCCGAGTACGACGGTATAATTATATGATGCGTCTGCTCAGTAACATTATCCTCTTGTCCGTCATCCTGAGTATTACTATCGCTATTTTTTCCATTTTGCGAGTCCTCGCCTCGTTCCTCCGACTCCTCCAAGTCCGTAACCGAGCCCCCTTTCAAAGGCTGCAATTCATGGTCTTTTTTGCTGTTTTGATTCGCGATTGCCGAATTAACTTCAACAATGTTAGGTTCGGGCGTCGGCTCCTCCATGTCTTTCGTCAAATCTTCCGCTTCCATTTCGTCCGGTCTTTGTTTTTTCCCGATGGCCGGGCTCCGCCCGCTTTTGCGTTTCCCGACTTTGGACGACGGCGACGGCGACCGTTTCCGCTTTTGTTTCTTTTTCGACCTGTCGTCGTTGGAGGGATTCATCACGTCTTCCACTGACATCCTCAACGGGTGAATCCTCTTGTGTCCCAACTCCGTCACTTCGTAGTCTTCTTCAGACATCCACTCGTTGTAGTGGTCGGTTTCTAGTAACCACGAGCACGACACTCGCCACGGTTCGGCTCTGGGACTCGGAACGTCGGTACTCACACCATCGCCAGATATGTCTAGACTGATCCAAGTGTCGTACGAATTCGGGAAATAGTACCAGTGCATCATGACCATTTTCTCGCGCTTGAACACCGGACGTCCGTACTCTTCTTCAGCGGGGTCTACAGGGGGGTAACAAATGTGAGTGGCCATTTCTTCGGTCTCTGCAACTTGAGCAAATTTCCGACAGACGATTTCGCGTAATTTAGCGGCTAGGGACTTTTCCACTTCGGGGCGGATGTAGACGGTGGGGACCGTGTAGAAGCGGTTTTGCATCAAGACCTTTTCCATGCATTTGAACATTTCGAAGACGCGCTCTAACTTGCCAGTGCTCTACAAATTATTCAATTTTTGATTGAACTTCGCAATTTTAACAAAGTAGCGCACTCACCTTTCCCGTGGGAATCTCGAACCTCCTCCAGTTATGCTCGCTCTTGAACTTATACGCCGTCAGCAACATATGACACAACGACCCTCCGGGCTTGAAATCCAGGAAATACCTCACCGGTATCCTCGTCATGGGAGTCTTCTGTACGTTCTTCCCGAGAAAGTCTTCTTGAAACTGCATTAGTTGCAGCGCCAGCAGCGACAAACTTTTGTTCGTGACGGGGTCAGCTTGTAAATACTAAACCCGAAATTGAGAATTGAGGTTATGTCACTCGTCAAAGTCTCACCTTTTTTCCGTTTTTCTGCAGCCATTGTCTGACCATTTCAAGTGCGGCGAGAGTTTCGGGGGCCTCGAAGTACTTCACGTTAGGGCTCCCGTCCTTCTTGGGGCCGTAGGCCATCATCTTGATTCCAATATCACAAGCACTGCTTTGTAAATTTTTTTAAAATTGCCGAACGCGTGATGAATTTGTAAAACTGTACATCACCAGTTAGTGCATATAAAGGGCTTGATTTTGGTAAATTAATATAAAAGGGCTGTATACAGACGCTAAACACCGCAAAATGTCAACTGTCAAAATAACGGGAAGGGGAGAGTAGGCAACCAGATATACGCGGCGAGACGCGGCAGGGGCGTACGAATTTTACAAGGAGGGTTTATCAGTGTCGGATTGATTACATTTTTCACATATACAGGAAGTTACAATTACAAATACAATAAATATAATAGACACATAAAAAACAACGTATGTACAACATCTTGCAATTTAACTTGAAACTGCTACGAAATTTTGGAAACGTTGCGACTAATTAAGAACATATTTCACATGACAATTTCTCTTACAAAAATAAGAATTTTAAAATTAAGTTCCGCCCCTCGGCTTACGACGAATAAAAAAATATATCAAAATTGTGATAGGGCGGGTGAGCGAGGCTTATATTTATTTTTTTGCCTTTTTTTTCTTAACATAGTCATCTTCTCACAACAAGAAACTCAAAACATGGTTTAAATAGTAAACTTTGTAAGGAAAAATAGATTTTGTAATTATGGGGCGGAGCCTAACTGCAAAATCGGTATCGGTAAACAAATTTTCCATTTTAAATATGTTTTAAGTTTCATGTTGTGAAAAGAAGTCTACACATATTAAAACAAAAAGATAAAATGTATGCCCGCCCACCCGCCCTGTCTCTTATGTGATGATTTTTTTTATTCGCCGTGAACCAAGAGGGCGGAGCTTAACTGCAAAATGCTTATTTCTTTACAAGAAATTAAAACATGTTTTTGAGAATCGTGATGTTGAAAGAATACAATGCATATTAAGAAAAAAGGAAAATATACACCCCCCCACCCACCCTATCTCAATTGTAATGATTTTTTTATTCTTAGACACTTACACACGTTTAAAATGATAAATTTTTGTAGGGAAATATGGATTTTGCAACTAGGCTCCGCCTCTAGGTCTAGCAACGAATGAAAACTTCATTACTACATATTTAAGAGTAGATCAGGGTAGGTATGGGTGGAGCTTAACCTTTGGCTTTAATTTTTTCTTAATATACATAGCATTCTTTGAACAACGCCATACTCAAAATGAAAGTTAAACTCCGCCTCTCGGTTTACGACGAATAAAACAAATCATCAGAATATAGACGGGGTGGGTGGGTGGGGCTTATATTTTACCTTTTTTTTTTTCTTAATATACATGGCCATCTTTTCACAAGAAGAAGTTTAAAATATGGTTAAAATAGTACATTTTTGCAAGGAAATATGGATGATATTTCCTTATACAAATTTTCTATTTTAAACATGTTTTAAGTTTCATTTTGTGAAAATAAATCTACACATATTAAAACAAAAAGGCAAAATGTGAGCCCGCCCACCCGCTCTATCTCAATTGTGATGATTTTTTTTATGCGCCGTGAATCAAGGGGGCGAAGCTTAATTGCAAAATACTTATTTGTTTAAAAATACGAAAATAGACACTTAAACACGTTTAAAATGATAAATGTTTGTAGGAAAATACGGATTGTCATATTTGGATCACGGGAATATGGGTGGAGCTTAATCTTCGGTTTTAATTTTTTCTTGATATACATTGTATTCTTTGAACAACACGATACTCAAAAATATTTTTTTAATTTCTCCTAGAGAAATAAGAATTTTGCAGTTAAGCTACGCCCTCTTGGCTTAAAAATTAAAACGTCTAAAAGTTGAAAAATTGAGAGATCGAAGTATGAAACAGCCGAAAAATTGAAAAATCTGAAGTTTAACGAAAAATTGAAAATCCAAAAAGTAAAAAAACGAGAAATCAAAAAATCCAGGAGTCCAAAAATTGAAAAGTCGATAAAATCGGAAAACCTAGAATTTTAAAAATTGAAAAATTAAAACATCGAAAAGTTGAAAAATTGAGAGATCAAAGTATAAAACAGCCGAAAAATTGAAAAATCTAAAGTTTAAGGAAAAATTGAAATTCCAAAAAGTAAAAAAACGAGAAATCAAAAAATCCAGGAGTCCAAAAATTCAAAAGTCGATAAAATCGGAAAACCTAGAATTTTAAAAATTGAAAAATTAAAACATCGAAAAGTTGAAAAATTGAGAGATCGAAGTATGAAACAGTCGAAAAATTGAAAAATCTACAGTTTAACGAAAAATTGAAATTCCAAAAAGTAAAAAAACGAGAATTCAAAAAATCCAGGAGTCCAAAAATTGAAAAGTCGATAAAATCGGAAAACCTAGAATTTTAAAAATTACGGATTTTGCAATTAAGTCCCGCCTCCTTGGCTCACGACGAATAAAAAAAATCGTCAGAATTGAGATAGGGTGGGTGGGCGGGGCTTATATTTTGCCTTTTTTGTCTTAATATACAAAGCCAACATAGAAACTTAAAATATCGTTAAAATGGTACACGTTTCCAAAGAAATATGGATTTTGCAATTATGGGATGAAACCTAATTGCAAAATCAATATTTCTTTATACAAATTTTCCATTTTAAAGATATTTTAAGTTTCATGTTGTGAAAAGAAGACTATTCATATTAAAACAAAAAGACAAAATGTAAGCCCGCCCACCCGCCCCATCTCGATTGTGATGATTTTTTTTTATGCGTCGTCAAACAAAGGGGGGGAGCTTAACTGCAAATTACTTATTTCTTTACAAGAAATTAACAACATGTTTTTTAGTATCGTCTTGTCCAAAGAATACTATGTATATTAAGAAAAAAAAAAAAAAAAAAAAGAAAAAATATAAACCCAGCCCACCTACCCTGTTTCAATTGTAATGATTTTTTTTAATTCTTAGACACTTAAACACGTTTAAACTGATACATTTTTGTAGGAAAATATGGATTTTGCAATTAGGCTCCGCCTCCAAGTCTGGCAACGAATGAAAACTTCAGTACTACATATTTAAGTCAGGATAGGTATGGGTGTGGTTTAATTTTTGGCTTTAATTTCTCTTAATATACATAGTATTCTTTGTTCAACACGATACTCAAAAACATATTTTTAATTTTTCCTAGAGAAATAAGGATTTTGCAGTTAAGCTACGCCCTCTTGGCTTACGACGAATAAAAAAATCATCAGAATTGAGACAGGGCGGGTCGGCGGGGTTATATTTTGTCTTTGTTTTTTCTTAACATACGTAGCTATCTTTTCACAACAAAAAACTTAAAATATAGTTAAAATGGTACACGTTTGCAAGGAAATATGTATTTTGCAATTATGGAGTGGAGCCTAATTAAAAATCAAAATTTCCTTATACAAATTTTCCATTTTAAAGATATTTTAAGTTTCATGTTGTGAAAAGAAGACTATTCATATTAAAACAAAAAGACAAAATGTAAGCCCGCCCACCCGCCCCATCTCGATTTTCATGATTTTTTTTTATGCGCCGTCAACCAAAGGGGGGGAGCTTAATTGCAAATTACTTATTTCTTTACAAGAAATTAAAAACATGTTTTTGAGTATCGTCTTGTCCAAAGAATACTATGTATATTAAGAAAAAAAAAGAAAAAATATAAACCCCGCCCACCCACCCTGTTTCAATTGTAATGATTTTTTTTATTCTTAGACACTTAAACACGTTTAAAATGATACATTTTTGTAGGAAAAAATGGATTTTGCAATTAGGCTCCGCCTCCAAGTCTGGCAACGAATGAAAACTTCAGTACTAGATATTTAAGTCAGAATAGGTATGGGTGGGGCTTAATCTTTGGCTTTAATTTTTCTTAATATACATAGTATTCTTTGAACAACACGATACTCAAAAACATGTTTTTAATTTTTCCTAGAATTAAAATATGGATTTTGCAATTAGGCTCCGCCTCTAAGTCTGGCAACGAATGAAAACTTCATTACTACATATTTAGATCAGGGGGATATGGGTGGAGCTTAATCTTTGGCTTTAATTTTTTCTTAATATACATAATATTCTTTGAATAACACGATACTCAAAAACATGTTTTTTGTTTTTTGTAGAGCGATACGGATTTTGCAGTTAAGCTCCGCCCTCTTGGCTTATGACGAATAAAGAAATCATCACAATTTAGATAGGGTGGGTGGGCGGGGCTTATTTTTTGCCTGTTTTTCTTAACATACATAGCCATCTGTTCACAACAATAAACTTAAAGCAGTTTTTTAATGCATTTTTTTTAAGATTTCACCCCAGTTTAAGATTATTTTTTAAAAAGTTGTGGACTTCTAAAAATTTTGACCATGATTCCAGCGGATCCATATAGAAACCGCCGACTTTGAGATTTTATAAAAAAAATAAAAAAAATTCAACGTCAAAATTGGCCCTTTGGGCAAGGGAAGAAAAATGTTGCCCGGTGGGAATTGAACCACACATCTCCCACTTGCCGGGCGGGTGCCTTGACCACTAAGCTTCAGATTTGAAAGTATTTGTTAATAAAACAAGGGTTTGTAGGATTTGGTGTAGGCAACCCATAATTCACGTCGTTCGCATATTGCGCTAGCTGCCACCAAGGAGACAAAGTAGAACACCAAACGTCACTTCTCCATTAGGATTCGAAAGGGTGTAACAAAGAGAACGAAGTTATCAGGTTTAATATTTTTTATTCTCGATTTTGTCTGGAGTAAGTTATGATAAAAAATTTAATTACCTATTTAAATATATACATAATTGGAGATGTTAATTAATTAACTCTAGGTAAAAAGATGACTATAACAGAGATCGTCCATAAAACATGCATTGGAGTGTTTTCCTTACAATTCTGTCATAAATGACAAGGTAAAAATATAAAAAAATAAATAAGTGCATGGGCATCTAATAGATGTAGAATATAAATATGCACACAAATATGATTTTTTTATATCACATTAGATAATTTTTACAATAAGCACTGAAGCTGAACTAAACTCTGTGTGAAACCTAGGACATATCTTGGAATATTTTCAGCGGACTGAAGAGAGACGGGTAATAATACAATCATTAAACAAAACATACTTTCCAGTGGAAATATTCCAAAACGGGAGGGATACCGAAATACACAAAACGTTTTAAATACGTACTAACGGAGTCTCCAAAAACGAATCGAGTTAACATCAAAGAAACCACTGAAGTCGGATACAAGTCAAAACGCGCGAATCGCATACTTTCTTTCACACAGCAAGATTTATTAAAAAAGTTATAATACACAAATAATACAAATTTGGCAATTTATAGTCTCGGTAATAATTACGATTGGTTGGTACGATTTTCACACTTCAGGTAGTTCGCAATTAACTCATAAAAGCAATTACAAACCTACAAATCACTCCTGATTGTCGTTACAAGTCCGTCGAAAATCCCAGTTCAAAAGTCACAGGACTTCCATTTCGAAGTCCTGCGCAGTCATCACAATTACAACGTGTGAAGTATGATTCTGTGAAGAATTGTTATAAAAGGTGTCTTAGTCTAAAAAAACCTGCTCTCTAAAATCTGCGTGCGAATAGAAATAGTTCAAGTAACACAACGTTATTGCTTCTTATTTCATAATTATTGTAATAAATGTGTCCAAAATTGCATCCACTCTTATAAGAATATATGTAGATCTTCTTATCTGTACTTACGCTACGAGTGCTATCGTTTTCACAGTAACCTATGATTGACTTACTCTAACGAGTAAGCGATTAAAGCTTGAAGTGGAAAGTTTGATTCTTTCATTCGACATAAGATTCTGATTTCTTGTAGGATAAGTAGTGTTAACGTCCAATACATCATGCAGATATTACCTAGTAAAAATATAATTTATAATATGCACTGTAGAGTGCAGGATCTGGTGATCCGTGTGCGTCTTGCTCGTCAATGTAGTCGTCGACGTGGCGAGGCGAGTTTACACGTATGCAGGCGGCGGCTTATAGAAAGGAAACGGACACGCCATCCAGCACCTCCAGCCTATGTAAGTGATGACTCTCCTCGACAGGACATAATGCCACTAAGATCGACGCGGCTCGAGTTTCTGAGACATGCTTGTTAACACTCTTTGATTGTCAACTACCCGTAAACACGAAATGTAGGATTTCACTTCTCCCTCGCTCTTGGGGGATGGCGGCTCCAGAACTACCAAAACAACAAATCTATAATGTAATTCATAACAAGAGAGAGTCGACTCACCTAAATGCCTACTCCTACAAAATCGAATGGTCCTCATGGTCTGAGCCAGCATGTGCATTTTCTCGAAGTTGACCAGCCCGTCCAAGCTGGTTTTGTTCCCTTCGTGGGTGAACGTCATGTCTTTGAGCAGCAAGGGCATAAAAGGGACCACGGGCGGCTGCAGCTTCCCGACGCTCACCCTATAAGCCCTGTGGTTCCTGCTCGGATCTATCAGAGATTCAAATTCCGTATAAAGCTTCCTGAATTTTGACGGTAGCTTCTCCCAAGTGAGCGACAGACGTGACACCGCTACGTTGCTTAATCCCATTACTATGGCACAGAACGCGTTTAAATTTTGATATTCTTTGCAGCTGGAATTTTCATGGGTTAAGACTGGATTAGGCGCTTCCAACTACTCACTATGCGGCTAATTTTATGAATTTTCTTAGGAGAGCGACGCGTTTGCTGAGACTAGTTGTCATGCAAATTTCGGTCACCACCCAGAATTGGATCTCGTTGAAGCGGCGCAGGAACACGTCGAGGTTGGCGGTGATCTGGCCGAAGTGGTGGCGGCCGAAGGTGTGATAAAGGAGCTCGTACTCGTGAACACACCTAGGATTCATTATATAAACGCTAATTTAAATATATTGTACGAGTACATACCAGAAGAGATCCCAGTCGAAGAGGGTCATATAATACGCCAGCTCCTTCGTGCTGAAGAGCTCGATGTCGGCGTCGATGCCTTGCGTGTGCTCCTCCTGCTCCGAAAGGCATGTCTGAAATCGAGATCGTATTAATTTTATTTGTGTTAAAACACTCAATACTTTGTGTCTTTCGTGCTTTTATCTCTCATAAATTATACTTTAAATTGCAAAAATGTGATCATTCGACGTTCGAGATTTTAAATGGCTTTGTAGCCGGAACGCTGTCTTATATGGGTATAAATAGCTCGAATTCGAGGTCTTGCGTTATCATATATTTACAAGAGGTGTATACGTGCTAAAAGCTAAAAAGCTTCTATTTTAATATTCATGAGGAGTTCCTTTCGTGCACCGGTGCATATTTATCTCATGCATGTGAATTGCAGCTATTTAGCGAGCAGATATAAAGTGCCACATGTCATGAGTCTCGAGGGGCTGGAATTTATGAAATTGCACATTAAACGAATTTTAATGCTGGATGGTTAAAGTCATGTCAGGTGGGTTTGTAAGAGCATGATAGCGTCAGTCGATTTTGGACAATATTGGTGATATTATTGAAGGTGTGACAAAGGAAAGGTCCGACCTCTGCAGCTCATTACTGGCTTTTTACTCCCAGAGGTCCGTTTTCCGTTTGTCTGTCTGTCTGTGGAGACGTTATTACATGGAAAATACAAAAAAGAATTTTGTGCAAAGTGTTTTGTTTTGATTTTTGATTTTTTCAATTTCAATTTTTTCAATTTTTCGTTTCTTCAAATTTTCGATTTGCAATTTTTTAATTTTTCATTTCTTCAGTTTTTCGATTTGTTTTTTTTCAGTTTTGTTTTTGTTTATCTTCAGTTTTTATATTTGCAGTTTTTCGATTTAAAATTTCTCGAGTTTTCAATTTCTAATTTTTTAATTTTTCGACTTTTCAATATTTCATTTCTTCAAATTTTCGATTTTTAATTACTTGTTTTAGTTTTCTACAGTTTTTCGAATATATAAATGTTCGACTTTCAGTTTTTCGATTTCCCGATTTTTCAATTTTCCAATTTTTGTTTTTGATTTTTCGAATTCAAATTTTTTAATTTTTCGAGTTTTTGGTGTTTCAAGTTACCGATTTTTCAATTTTTCGATTCCGCAGTGTTTCGATGTATTAATTTTTCGGTCTTCTTCTTGGATTTTTTGACTTTTCAATTTTTAGATTTTTGGATTTTCCATGTTTTGATTTTTCAATTTTCCGATTTTTTCAACTTTTCGTTTCTTCAGTTTTTCAATTTGCAATTTTCCAAATTTTCATTTCTTCCGTTTTTCGGTTTGCGACTTTTCAGTTTTTTTCATTTTTTTTTGTTTCTTCAAATCCTAGATTTTGCAGTATTTCTGTTTAAAATTTCTCGAGTTTACAAATTCTAATTTTTGTATTTTTCGACTCTTCAGTTTTTCATTTCTTCAAATTTTCGACTCTCAGTTTTTATATTTGCAGTTTTCCATTTAACATTCCTCGACTTTTCAATAGCTACTTTTTCGATTTTTCGACTCTTCAGTTTTTCGCTTCTTCAAATTTTCGATTTTCAGTTTCTCGTTTTGGTGTTTTACAGTTTTTCGAAGTTTTAAATGATCGACTTTCAATTTCTCGATTTTTCATTTTTCCAATTTTTTTAAGTTTTTGATTTTTGGATTTCAAATTTTTTAATTTTTCGAGTTCTTGGTGTTTCAAATTATCGATCCTTCAGTTTTTCGATGTAATAATTTTTCGATATTTTATCTTTTAAAATTTTCTATTTCTGGATTTTTCAATTTTTACCGTTTCGATTTCTAGACCTTTCGATTTTCAAATTTTCTATTCATAGATTTTTGGACTTTTCCATTTTTGGATTTTCTATGCTTTGGTTTTCAATTTTTCAACATTTCAGCTTTGGGATTTTTCAATTTATATATTTTTCAATATTCCGATTTTCCAGTTGGTTGATTTTTTTCAATTTTTCGTTTTTTCAGTTTTTCGATTTGCAATTTTTTGATTTTTTATTTCTTCCGTTTTCCATTTACGATTTTTTCAGTTTTCTTCATTTTCGAGCTCTGGAACTCAGTTCAGGCCCCGTTTTTTTGATAACTGCAACCGTTTTTCCGGAATCGACCGTTGAAATTTCCAGATTTTTAGAAATTATCAAAAATTCGCATGTGGCAGGAATTTTTTTCGAAAATGTTGCTTCATGACCATTAACATGCTATATTTTTTGAATCTGCGTGTCGAGATCTACGTTCCTGAATTTTTTCATAATTTTTTGACAACTTTTTTAAAATTAATTTTTTTTAATGGTCCCCCCTTCTTTACATTTCGGCCAAATTTTGACATTTTCGAAACTCAACTAAACACATTTTCTTGTAGATTTCGAGCTCTAGAACTCAGTTCCGGCCTCGTTTTTTTGAAAACTGCAAGCGCTTTTCCGGAATCGACCGTTGAAATATCGAGATTTTCAGAAATTCTCAAAAATTCGCATTTTGTAGCGATTCTTTCAAAAATCTTGCTCCGGGGCCATCAACACATTATATTTTAGGAATCAGCATGTCGAGGTCTACGTCCCTGAATTTTTTCAGAATTTTTAAACAACTTTTTTAAAGGCGAAATTTTTCCCTTCTTCACATTTCGGCCAAATTTTGACATTTTCGAAACTCAACTAAACGCATTTTCTTGTAGATTTCGAGCTCTAGAACTCAGTTCCGGCCTCGATTCTTTGATAACTGCAACCGTTTTTCCGGAATCGACCGTTGAAATATCGAGATTTTCAGAAATTCTCAAAAATTCGCATTTCGTAGCGATTCTTTCGAAAATGTTGCTCCGGGGCCATCAACATCCTATATTTTTGGAATCAGCATTTCGAGATCTACGTCCCTGAATTTTTTCAGAATTTTTAAACAAATTTTTTAAAAGTGAAATTTTTCCAATGGTCCCCCCTTTTTTAGAATTTGCCAAATTTTGACATTTGCGAAACTCAACTAAACACATTTTCTTGTATATTTCGAGCTCTAGAACTCAGTTCCGGCCTCGATTCTTTGATAATTGCAACCGTTTTTCCGGAATCGAGCGTTGAATATCGAGATTTTCAGAAATTCTCAAAAATTCTCATTTCGTAGCGATTCTTTCGTAAATGTTGCTCCAGGGCCATCAAAACCCTATATTTTTGGAATCAGCATGTCGAGATCTACGTCCCTGAATTTTTTCAGAATTTTTAGACAACTTTTTTAAAAGTGAAATTTTTCCAATGGTCCCCCCTTCTTCACATTTCGGCCAAATTTTGACATTTTCGAAACGCAACTAAACACATTTTCTTGTAGATTTTGAGCTCTAGAACTCAGTTCCGGCCTCGATTCTTTGATAATTGCAACCGTTTTTCCGGAATCGAGCGTTGAATATCGAGATTTTCAGAAACTCTCAAAAATTCTCTTTTCGTAGCGATTCTTTCGTAAATGTTGCTCCAGGGCCATCAAAACCCTATATTTTTGGAATCAGCATGTCGAGATCTACGTCCCTGAATTTTTTCAGAATTTTTAGACAACTTTTTTAAAAGTGAAATTTTTCCAATGGTCCCCCCTTCTTCACATTTCGGCCAAATTTTGACATTTTCGAAACGCAACTAAACACATTTTCTTGTAGATTTTGAGCTCTAGAACTCAGTTCCGGCCTCGATTCTTTGATAATTGCAACCGTTTTTCCGGAATCGAGCGTTGAATATCGAGATTTTCAGAAATTCTCAAAAATTCTCATTTCGTAGCGATTCTTTCGTAAATGTTGCTCCAGGGCCATCAAAACCCTATATTTTTGGAATCAGCATGTCGAGATCTACGTCCCTGAATTTTTTCAGAATTTTTAGACAACTTTTTTAAAAGTGAAATTTTTCCAATGGTCCTCCCTTCTTCACATTTCTGCCAAATTTTGACATTTTCGAAACTCAACTAAACACATTTTCTTGTAGATTTTGAGCTCTAGAACTCAGTTCCGGCCTCGTTTTTTTGATAACTGCAAGCGTTTTTCCGGAATCGACCGTTGAAATATCGAGATTTTCAGAAATTATTCTCAAAAATTCGCATTTCGTAGCGATTCTTTCGAAAATGTTGCACCAGGGCCATCAACATCCTATATTTTTGGAATCAGCATGTCGAGATCTACGTTCCTGAATTTTTTCAGAATTTTTAGACAACTTTTTTAAAAGCGAAATTTTTCCAATTCTTCACATTTCGGCCAAATTTTGACATTTTCGAAACTCAACTACACACATTTTCTTGTAGATTTCGTGCTCTAGAACTCAGTTCCGGCCTCGTTTTTTTGATAACTGCAACCGTTTTCCCGGAATCGACCACTGAAATATCGAGATTTTTAGAAATTCTCAAAAATTCGCATTTTGTAGCGATTCTTTCGAAAATCTTGCTCCGGGGCCATCAACACCTTATATTTTTAGGATCACCATGTCGAGATCTACGTCCCTGAATTTTTTCAGAATTTTTAGACAACTTTTTTAAAAGTGAAATTTTTCCAACGGTCCCCCCTTCTTCAAATTTCGGCCAAATTTTGACATTTTCGAAACTCAACTAAAAAAATCATGAGTTCGAAAAGTGTAAAATTCTGAAAATTGAATCGAAATATTGAAAAATTTAAAACTGAAATTTTGAAAAATTAAAAATCGGGAAATCGAAAATTTAGAATGGCCAAAAATCGCAAAATTAAAATATTGAAAAATGGAAAATGTATAAAATCAAAAAATCAAAAATCCAAAGTCGAAAAATCAAACAATTGAATCGAATATTGAAGAATTCCGGAACTCAAATATTGAAAAACTGATAAATCGGCAAATCGGAAAACAGAAATATAGAAAAATTGAAGGAAAATTGAAAAATCCCAAAACTGAAACTTGGAAAAATTGAGAAATCGAAAAATTGAAAATTTGAGAAACCGAAAAGTCGAAAAATCGAGAAGTAGAAAAATCGAAAAAATCGAAAAAATGAGAAGAGAAAAACCTGAAAATTGTACAATCGAAAATTTGAAGGACTGAAAAAATAAAAAATCGTAAAACTGAATTGTCGGAGAATTGAGAAACCGAAAA